TCCAACTATATTTTCATGGTTCTTTGATGAGCGTTCTACTTCGTAATGACGTCTAAATAGCGTATTTGTACTAAACTGTGGAGCATGAGGCTTACGCCCATTCTGAGCTTTCGTTCTTTCGGGAGAGTCGGAAACAACTAGTCCACCCGCACCCGGAGGGATGGGATTTTTCTTTTCTGTCGAAAATCATCCAAAACGTAAAGTACAGCCAGATATGGGGTGTCTCCTCTATTGTTCCATCTTGGTTTTAAATATGTAGTTAATGTCTATCCAACAATCCATTTGTTGCGAGCGGAAGCCATACCAACTTCAGTGAGGTGGATGTAGGAGGTGAGGCTGCTTTCCCAGAATTAGCAGCTTCAGTATCTGAGCCGGAAACATCAGTACATACATATGTAGTTAGTGCATATATAGAAAAAGGTTGATATAAATATTTATTAAACAGCAAAATGTATTCGAACAATGCACAGAGGGTATGAACTCTACACAACGGATCTCTGATGAACCGGGGAAGCGTCGCTTAACCGGGCAGTATTCAACGGTGGTTCAAAAAAAAAAACGTTGGAAAGCATAAATACAACTACATCGAGAAGAAGAAATTCAAACATTATACAATGAATTAACCCAGACGATGATCGTATGAAAATCGAGTATTAGAGAGAACTGTACAGCGGAATCTAGACGACGAAACTGCGAGCGACAAAATGGTGGGTGTTTAGTCAGTGTCATACACTGAACAGAAAGTTTGGGGACGGGGAATAGTATTGGAGGACATGGGTGTAGTTAGCTGCTGTATTTTAATGCCACTGTGGTCGAAGAATACCTAGAGAAGAACACAATAGCCGAGACTCGGATGAAAGGGGGGTCTGAGAGAGAGCGATAGACGACATTAGAGGTGACTGGGATTTGTTGTACTGGGATGAGACGTGATGATGATTTTTTGATGAGAATCGCCGGAAATATCGCGGACGTTCCCCGCGCACAGAGCGACGATCGTTCATCGGACTTTAATAATCACAATCAGCAAATGAGATGAAGACAAAACTGGGATTTGCTAGCGTAGCCTACACAGGTAATCGCTTGGTGATATCTGGAGGCAGAGGGGGGCGGTTACACGACGGGATGTGGGGGAGGAGGCTAAAGCAGGAGGAAAATACAAATGAATAATGAAGAGCAGACCCGAATACGTGCCGAATGATGTTGTTCTAAAACCGGAGATATAGGAGGCGGCAACAACGTTAAAGGCAAATGCGTCTGAACACCGAAGTCTGCGGGAGTCGGATATAGGACCAGGCATATGTTTTAGCAAAGACCATTTGTACAGCTTATTTCTAATCCCTACTAAAATCTGAAGGAGCAACTGGCTTTTGAAAATCATTCATATTCACAAATCTGGGAATTAACAGTAGCGAAGGTGATTCCGGCAGACTCTGGTTCTGTCACGAATCTCGATGACTACGGTACATATACTGTAGCCATTTGTGCATTTGTGCGAAACGTTTTCGGGATTAGTGAACGTTATAAAATGGATAACTAAAGGCCATGAAGTTGTATAAGCACATCAGTAGTAACTGAAGAAGAAATATGGAACTGTCGAAATAGAGAAGGGATGGAGTAGTAAGAGCAAGGGAGGGAGGAAGGAAGAGGCTACCCTGTTGGCTCATCGAATCTCGCCGCTACGACGAGCGGTTGGCTGAATTCGGTCCGAAATTGGCAAACAAAAAATATTGACAAAACAAAGTCGGGAAAAAGAGAGCGTGAACAAGACAAACGTCTATCAATCGTCGAATTCTGACCGTCAAAAACGAACAAAAAAAAGTGAGGAACAATATGAAAATCCAAATAAAAAAACAAGAAATTTGTCACCTATTCAACACACAAGACATGCGAATTCTCGTACAATCGAATACCACAGAGGGGGAGATATATGAGTAAGACTGTGCAGAACCTTCTTTTTTTTCGGGAACCGGAAATCGAAACGTCAAAACACGAACCCCCTAAGTAAGTACACTCAACACTATCGTCTGAGAGAACCATTTGGCAGAACTGAAGTGCCTTAGAGACGATTTCCAATCAGTTTGCTTTATTCTGCACTTCCCTACTCATATAGGATGTCTGGGAGGGGATACGGCTAGAGACGCAGGGTCTGTTAAACACTAAATGCTCATCTACAGTCAGTTGGGACGCTTCATGGTAGTGTGGGTTATGATGAGAAATCCCGTTAAGACGTTTCACGCGTTGCTGGACTCCTGGAGTCCGGGAAAGATCTGGGAATCATGTGTATGTGTGTGTTTAATGTCGGTGCGCGACGTGCGAGAGGAGAAAGAGGAGTAGAAGGAGGACTGAGTAGAGGGCTGAGTCCTTTTGTGGTTGCGGTGGTTCATTGTTGCTGCACCGTCGATGCCTTCGCCATCCACACAGTGACATGTCCATGATGGGCACGTCTTCGATGGAATCGGGTGGACGACGTTGACGATTCGACGGCACAAGCTAATTTAGGTCTAGGCTCGCAACACTGCTAATAGGGTTTCATTTGGTTGATTATACTGGACGAGAACTGCTGGTGACTGCTGGCCGTCGAACCACCCTGCTGAGTGTAGCGTTGGATATTTTCCAGAGGCGTGATCATGTTGAATCTGAATGATCAGTATTTCTTTCCGTATCATTGGGATCAACACGATTTTTTTTATCAATGTGGAACCTATCGGCTTGGGAGGCTTACCTGAATTGAAATGAGCTGCCACGCAGGAGAACAGCCTAAGTTTTCAACTTTTCCCAAAACCAAACTAACTGAAGGCAACCTGTGGGGCTGCTTAACTCTCACCTACACTCCCCTTTGACTTTTTAGCTAAAAAATTACAAAATAATCTATGGCCTTACCCAGCCGGTCGATCGCTGGCCTTGGTATTAGCCGGGTAGTCGAAGTTGTATCGTGGCGCAGCGCTTACTGCGGCGGCATTGGCATTCCGTTGGAAGTTCAGCAACTGTGTAAACGCACTGTTCTGAAGGGCAGGATTATTGTATGGATTACCGTGATTTGCCACCGCTTGAGACATCATCGCCTGGTTTGCGAAGTGATCTGAAAAATGTCAATAAGGAATATCAGTCATACTGGAACAACAACAAGATTCCCTATGTACAAGGCATTCCTAACACTGTCAATGACCGAATATAATAAATTACTCAATCCTCTACTCTTGTGGCACTCACAGAAAAAAATCCGTTCGGGTATCTTTTTATTCTCATGAAGGGAACAAAATTTCTCGTAGATGACATACCCAAGCAGTAATGGGATTGTTTGTCAACTGCTATTTCTGGACATGTGCATGCCATCAGGAACGTATTGAATTGCAAAGGAAATCTACGGATAGCTCTGAGGGGAAGGAGGCTTCAGTAAGACAACGGCATCTTGACCCAGGAAGCCAAAGTACAGCGCTTATCCGTCATCCTATTGAACTCGAAGGGTTCAGCTATGGTGAAACATGCTAGGGGTTTGTCCACCGACGAGATCGAGTCCATCTGGAAGCCAAATCCTCTCAACACACCTCATCATAGTCAAAATGGCATGAAAAAAGTCCCTTTCTCAGTCTTCTCCGCGAAAAGCATTCGGTTGTGGAAGTACGTAAGGTGAACCCCCTCAGTGTCCACCAACTAACCCAATGGTTAACCAGCTGACTAGGGTCAAAGGGATGTGTCTGTGCCTCGTTCCCACACCTCACACCTCTCCCCGACTTTCCACGACTCCTCCTGAAACTGGGCATCCTTTCTCCTTCATCATTATCTTCCCTCCATTCCTCATAACTTCCAAGGCTGCTGCTGAACTATGTTCGGCGCGTTTCGATTAGCCGGACCAACATCACCTCATTCAGCTCCTCGCTGATGTTATTGATGGAGGAGTATGCCTTACAAGAATGAGTTGATGAGGACAACGGTTGCTTTACTGCCCGTGACTTCAGCACTGTCCCGATTTCAGATTTTTCATAACCTAAGGGGTACTGTAAAGACGTACTGAGAGACTACGGCTAGATAGGCACGTAGCTATTCCAATTCAATTGTTTTAGAGTTAAAGCCCAAGAAATGGAACATTCGCACGAAATCAACCATGAAAACGTGACGAGCCCTCATTTTGAGCTTTTGTTTGCCTTTCTGAACACATACTGTTAAAGTGCACTTTTGAAATGTGAACAATGAATGGCACAATTCTGTTGGCCATTCCCACCAACAAAACAGCGGCTTCGCAAATGAATTTGGCACGTCGATGAAGTTGCATTCAGAAGTTCGGTGCTTCAGCTTCTGGTCTGACTCAAAGCACAAAAGATGATTGAAGTATGGAAAAGTTCAGTTCAAAGTGAGAGCCCAGTAGCGGCAATAGCTTTTGGATCCTCAAGAAGGTAAATAACGGAAGGTCCCTGTTAGGCGCTTGCAGTCGTCCACGGCACCGTTCAAAGTTTCGTATATGATCGAATTATTTCCAGTTGATCCCCACTTTCACTGCATACCTTCGTATGTCACGCTGCACTTGCGCTTCCAACGACGGCCAAAAAATGTCTGTACACTACCTTGAATCAGGTCAGGGCAAGAGAAACTACCTTCGGTAAGGAGGACGCAGATTCACCTGGAGAGAGCGATGGAACATGGTTGAAAGTGATTGAGAATCAAAGAAGCAGAATCTGTGTAATGTGCTGGGTACGAGTGAGAGGGTGAAAGATAGCGCGACTGATGACCGTGGAGTAATATCGTCGAAGAGGAAGAAACCGGTTTCAAGTCAATTGCCAAAGACCATTCCAGGTTTAGTGGCCCGACGAAAGAGATGTAGTGAGAGTGATGAGCATTCAAATGAGGTTTCGAACTCAGCTACTCTCGGGCCGACTGAAGGCCAACTAATGAAGGTACTTCGTGGACCATTCAGTTACTGAACGGTGATGATGAATCGAGTCTTACAGTGCTATGGTGTTCCCACTTTGTTTGCGGTCTCTTTGGCCCCCGACTTGTTGCCCCTCTTCTTTTTCCTCCACAAATTTAGGCTACACCCCCTCATTAGGTCCTTCTTGTCCTTGGACCCCTGAGGTCAAATAGCTTTCAACCACATCCTAGTAGCTTTAAAAGGAAGCGAGATCACGGATATTCTCCATATGCTGACAGCCCTCCTTTTTAGGCTCCTATTATTCACGAGTATTCATCTTCTGAGCCGGACGATTTTATACGGTTAGACATTCATTTCACCTGTCGTTTCGACAAATTCACCGTCCTCGAAGACCTAAGCATTTGAAAGTTTCTACAATGCTACTTATCACACCTTTGGAGACTACGAACCTTTCAAATGTCCCACACAGATAATCTGTTCGGCACTGAAGCCCTCATAATGGAACAAAAGCCCAGGTTTCAGAGCCTAAGGGGTAACAAAACCTTGTATCTGCTCTCGCCTCGGTCCGTTTCCGCGCTGTCCCTCCTGCCCCTTGCATCAACCTCTCAACCACCAGTGCTCCGGGAAATGCCCACGCTCACTTTGGCTTACTCCACTTGATAGACATTGTTTTCCGGTTAACTGACTCATAATAAGATTCCATTGAGCCCCTTCCTCCACGGTTCTTTCCGTGCAGCTTTTCCTCGAATAAACTCCATTGCTCTGCTTGTGCGTGCTCGTTCATGAAAAAAGACTTACGGCAGCAGCAGCAGCAGCAGCAACCCCGAGAAATACTTGGGAAGCCATTAGTAGCTTTCCCTGCTTTCCCAAGAAAAAAAGGCATGACTACTCTAAGGTAAGGGGCAAGAATATCACAACCTTTAGCAGACAGAAACGAAGGTATCTAGAGGAGGGTATCGAGAAGGATATGACAAAAAGGGGCTGCTGATGTACAAGTCAGTGCTTTTATCCTCCTAGATGAGTCTAGCATCAGTCAAATGACGCTGGTAGGATGAAGGCTCAGTTGGCTTAGGCGAATTTCGATCCGAGATTCTATTCCCGGACCATGAATGTGAGACAAAAATATTTTGGTACGTAGTCAATGGCTAGATATAGGTGCTCGGGCTGAAGCTAATTTGTCACTCAATTCATGAAGGCTGACCTGGTAGGCTAAAACCTAAAAATTGAAATTTTGAGTTCAAAAATCCAAGTTCAACGGTTACTTTAACTAAAGGGAGTAACAGGAAAAAGTGTATGTGCCCTTTCTCTCTCTTCCTCATCCCCTATAATGAATGATGTTAATGAGAACGGATCTATTACAAAAAAAAACTTTTTTTTCCGAGCTTTAGTTACCGTAATACGACATCATTAGCTTCATATATGAAAAAGCCAATGCTTGCCCTTGTATAATAGAATGAGCTATATTTGAATAACAGCTACGGCCTTTTACTTCGACGACGGGGAGACAAAATACTAAGCAAACACTTAAAGATACAAATCTAAGTCCGGGGACTACATGAAGCCTGTACTAACAACCACGAACAAAAGTAGTTTTCGGAAGTTTACGGAGGGAAGGAAGAAGTTCTTTGATAATGGGTGGACAAACAGACATCAGAATGGTGTTTACTTGTACCCACCCATTCGTCACGATTTTAGATTCCCGAAAAACTGGGCCGGGTTTCTCAGAGATGTTCCTGAACGGTGTAGCAACTCAACAGTCCAACAACGGTTAAGCGATGATCAGATGGCCAAGGAGAAGGTTTGAAAAGTGGTGTCAAAAGGTAAATGATAGGCCATTGGCAGCGATCTGAGGAGCCAGATCGAACCGTGAGATGCAATGGCTTGAGTCTAGCCCCTCCAATGAGTTGGTTAAGCTGACATCGAAAGGAAACAATTACGAGAAGACAGTCCTATCACTGGACCTCCTTGACCACTTGGAGTGATCTCGTTACGGGTAATCTGAGCATCGAATCTGGCCACTTCGTTGCCGTACATCCATTGACGAGGATCCAAGGAGACCTCATGGGATCCCGACCTGGACTGGATGCTTGAGTGTCTTGCCACACACTAATAAGACGATACTTCTTCTTCACAACAACACAGTTTTCTCTCCCCTTTTCCCCTTACTGTTGCTTTTCGTAACTTTTTTTT